AGCTCTCCTCCAAATTTTGAAGCTCTCCAGTGAAAATTTTGAACTCAGTGTTTGTAATCGTGTAAAGAACCTCCATGCACAGAGGAGTTTCTCCCCATTAGAAACTTATTCTCCACATAAAGAGAGTTGTGGAAAACCATGATGAAGATTTAAGGCTAGGTTATCATCGTTCCCACTTGTGGGATTCATCTCTAAACCCTTAACAGGATTCATGTTCTTCAGAGTCAAGATAATTTCTTTGATCTTCCAGATGATGTATTGCAACTCCCAATATTCCTAGATACAATGGCCAAAAACTTCTAGAGGACTGAATGATTTCAACTCATGTTCCAAGTGTTGTGGCAAGTGGAATAGAAGATATTTCAGTGTATCTATCTAAAGATAGATCTTTGTAAGAGAAAACCTACAAGTATGTGTGTCTAATAAACCCATTTATATGTAAAAATTTGTCCAGTTTGGGTATGCACACTTATAAGTTGTAATGGTTCTCAACCTGTGGGTCCCCAGATATTTTGGCCTTCAACTCCCAGAAATCCTAACAGCTGGTAAACTGGCTGGGATTTCTGGGAGTTGTAGGCCAAAACACCTGGGGACCCACAGGTTGAGAACCATTACAACTTATAAGTATGCATACCCAAACTTGACAAATTAAGAAGATGAGAAAAATGAAAAGTATCCTGTTCCTTTACCTATACCCCTTCAATGATTCTGACTAACCAAACACAGCAGAAAAGAAGCAAATGGGTCGAAGCAATGGCTGTTAAAAGGGTATGCAGCGAGAGTATGATTTATCTGAAAGATTTGAGATCAGAGAGTCTTTGGATCTTGGAATTTTTTTCAGATTGTAGAATACTTGTATTTACATATGTGTAGATATCGAGGAGATGGGACCCATGTCTAACAGGAAATTGGTTTCAGTTTCAAATAAACATAGCTGGAAGATTATTGTATACACAATCTATATAGATAAAAATGTAATGTTCGTTTGTGGGATTAACATAACTCAAAAACCACTGGGCGAATTGACACCAAATTTGGACACAAAACACCTATCAGGCCAACAAGTGACCATAACTCATAAAAACACTGAAAAACACAGTGGAAGGGATGTAAAAAGCAAAAAAAAAAAGCAAAAAGATGCTACAGCGCATGCACAAAATGACTCCCCCTGGCAAAATAAAACAATAGCATATCCACACTCTCTTCCGGATTACAGCTCCCAGCATCCCCTAGACCAGGCCCTTTAGGAGAGAAGGATGATCCAAATGCACTGCTTCCAAGCTGCAAGCTTTTTTCTCCTGGGATTTCTTCGAGAGCATCCCAATCCCTGCATATTTCCAATTTCCTATTCTTGGACTGCAACTCCCAGCAATCCTCCAGATAGATAAGATAGGTAGGTAGGCTGGTAGATAGATTGATCAGTAGGACTGCTGGGAGTTGCAGTCCAAGAATAGATAGAGAAGGAAGAAAGGGGAGAAAGTGGAAGGGAAAGAAAAGGGGGGAAGGAAGGAGAGAGGGAAAGAAAAAAAGGAAGAAAGAAAAAAGGGAAAGAAGGAAGGAGAGAAAGAGGGAGGGAAGGTTGGCCACAGCCAACACGTGGCGAGTATTTTTTAAAAATTGTACATGAAACAAAGTCTGTATACACTGAAGCATCAGAAATCAAAGGTATCATTATCTCGTCCACCTATGTGGATTTTAGATTTCTGAATTACAATTAAAGCATACTCAACATGTTCAAAATTACAAAGCTGCAAACACAGTAAAGAAAATAGTTGGCTTTTTAAAGTCTCTACGTGTATTCAAGGGGCTTCACAAGCATTGTCCAGTTGTGATCTTTTTAACAGATCTAAAGAATCTCCCACACTCCAGACAGCAACACCAATCGTTCTTAGTCAATAGACAATAGTGAATTTTAGACAGGAATTGTAGTTCAGCAGCAAATGGAATTTCCCATACTTTCTATGCTTGCCTTAAGGCAAATCTAGATTATCATCACCCACACTGCATTGTAAAGCAGGGAACTGGATTATGAGCCCTTGACAATAGTCATTTTGTGCCACCATCTTTCAAGTTCATATAGGAGAACTTAACTAGGAGCCATCCTGATTCATAGCTTTAATAATTCAGCTATAAAACCGCAAGAAACATAAGCATGTTTACTGTACCTCATATTTAATTTTTAGGAAAAATAATAAAAGAAAAATAGAGAAATAAATGCCCAGAAGATCAACCTCTGAGTCAAGCAAAAGTAGAGCAAGTGTCAGTACTCCAGAAAAGGTCAGCCAGTCTTTCGCTGGAACTGGACCAACTCTTTTCTGTGGAAGTCAGCCAAATAGAAATGCAACTCTGTCCCATATTCAGTGACACGAGATTTCTGTTCCTCAAATCCATCTTGCTTCCAGCTCTTGCCAAGAAACATTTTGCAAAACATTACAAAATCTCAGTTACACAGTTTGGCGCCAATTCCACATTTCAATGAATCTCAAGATTGTGCTGCTAAATCAATCTATCAACCTGGTTTGTTTGGGTTGAGCTTTAAAATGCAATTTTATTTTGTTGTAATCAGCGACAAAGTCGATATGGCTATGTTTTTTCAAGGATCACAGTGAACATGGAAACGGTGATTCGTAAGTTCAATTTTCAGATATAACTATGGACACGTAAAAAACAGGTATAAAGAAATCTGATGTATACTTGTCTCTGCACAATCATGGTGTATCTAAAACGGCAATAAAATCATAAAGCAGCTTTGTATTTAACAAGGAAACCACGAAAAAAATATATTGTGAGAGACATTCAAAAATTGGTCTTTCTAGCTTAGCTGTACAAGGTGTCCCCTTCTCCCAAAATGGAAGGATTGCTATTCCCAGAATAAGCTGCAAGTGTGAATATAGCAAATGAATTACTGACATGTAACGTTTTGGTTGGCAGCAAGCCTAATGAATTTCTAGAGGCTGATTCTTTAAACCAGAACTACAAGCAAACATCAAAAGTGATTTATAAGCCACAGACAGGTTCATTTGGAGAGGCTGCATTCAGTTGGTGCCAATTTAGATTTGCCAGCCCAGCTGGAAAGTATACAGAAAGATGCAGCTGTCTTCAACAAACAACACTCAAGCTCAGATCTCGATTCACCTTCCTAGTACCAATAACCATGCCTTAGAACAGTGTTTCCCAACCTGGGGGTTGGGGCCCCTGGGGGGGGTCGCAAGGGGGTTTCAGAGGGGTCGCCAAAGACCATCAGAAAACACATATTTCTGATCGTTTTAGGAACTCCTTTGGCAGAGAAGGCTCAAGATCTCTCCACCTATCCTACTCTTCCTTTTTGTAAACAGACAGTGAATCCTCCCACCAAAAGCCCTCCTCTTGCTGGGATTGGCTGGCCTCTCGGCTGGCCTCTCAGCCAAGGGGAGGACTGTTTCTGAGACTCCAGGTGGGAAGGGGAGAGCAAGCATGCTCTTCCCTTAATCACTGTCAATTCCTCCCAAATCCCTCCAGTATTTTCTGTTGGTCATGGGGGTTCTGTGTGCGAAGTTTGGCCCAATTCTATTGTTGGTGGGGTTCAAGGGGATCTTTGTTGTAAGTGAACTATAAATCCCAGCAACTACAATTCCCAAATGTCAAGGTCTATTTTCCCCAAAGTCCACCAGTGGTCACATTTGGGCATATTGAGTATTCATGCCAAGTTTGGGGCGATTTAATAATAATAATAAGAAGAAGAAGACAAAGACGAAGAAGAAGAAGTCTGTTTAAGAGCATGACTTCTCACATCCGCCATTATTTTTAAATGCAAATGAAAAGAGAAGAATTGGGTCTGATACAATTACAGATGTGACAAAACGTGAGTCTAGAAAGATTAGTCAAGAATCAACTCCAAATACCCGGGTCAATCTTTACTCTTAGCGAAAAAGGAACCATCCTCTTCTCTTAGGAGAGTGATGAAAGCACTCCGTCCCAAGAAAGCCTAAAAGAAGCACCAATCTCTTCTGTTCTCATTGCCATAGCACCGTCTTTAGCCTTTTGAAATGTCTGGGTAGGGAAATGGCAGTGGCCAGTGGCAATTTGCTCAGAAAGCAGAGCTATGAATTTCCTCTTTCAATGGAATAACCCTAGATTTAGCTAAAGCTCATATCAAAATCCTGAATTTTGGCACCAAAACTTGCCCTCGAATTATAAATAAGGTCAACTTATACACAAGTATATGTATTTATTTATTTCAGGTCCTATCTCAACCTCCGCAGAGGGCCTCACGACGGCTAACAAAACGGCACCCCATGGTGCCCATACCAGAAACATAAAAATACAATTTAATAGCAATATGGCAAGAAAACAGAATAAAACAGTAGAAAACAGTAGAAAACGATATAAAAATATAAAAACAATCAAGCAGTCAGCAGTCGCCGGTTTGAATCATCATCCAAGGGGCAGTCAGTCAGTTCTATAAAAGTCGTCATGTCAGCAAGTCAACCTAATCTACAAAAGCCTGATCCCACAGCCAGGATTTCATTTGTTTCCGGAAGGTTAAGAGGGATGCAGCAGATCTAATTTCACTTGGGAGGGAGTTCCAAAGCCGAGAGGCCACCACAGAGAAGGCCCTGTCCCTTGTCCCCATCAGCCGTGATAGCGACAATGGGGGGACAACAAGCAGGGTCTCCCCGGATGATCTCAGGGCCCTAGGTGGATCGTAGCAGGAGATACGTTCAGCCAGGTAAACTACTTATATATAGTAAGTAGGATGTTTCTGAACCATCATTATAGGTAGTGATTAGGGAAAATAATAGAATAAGCTCTTTGACAGCTTACACTTGTGTGGGTGGTACTTGCAAGCAGATGGGGGGAGTGAAAAGGTGTGATGAGTCCCAGGGAAAATACCAAGCTGAAACAGCCAGTCTGGTATCAGTCAAATAGATACATATCAAGCATTATGAAAACCGCTGGGCTTACAATATATCCTCTGTGGCACAATAATCAGCTCATACTTTTCTGTCATGTTTTCTTACCTGCCTTGCAACCCTCCGAGCTTCCCAGTAAGGTTTTGAATCTTCGACAGCTTTCCCAATCTTCTTCACTAATTCATCTAGTTTGATTGTAGCTTCAACGAGGACAGAACGAAATTTTTGACGGGCATCCTGCAAAGGAAAGAGCAGCAAACAGTGTCACCAAAACTGTTCTTGCGGATCAAATTTGATTAAATAAGCCTGCCTAGGCACAGCAAACGGACATGTTTTGTAGAATATTATTTCTGGAGACAGTACCAGAAATGTGGGTCACCATTCTGAAATGAAATTTACCACGATGACAAAAACCGTTTGTGATCAGATTTGAAGAGTATGCAATGCCTGGCAGCATAACTAGGCTTCTGACTTTCTCTGGCAAATCCAACCACATTTGAACAGAAATCAAATCCAGAAAATTCATAAATTCAGACGTGAAGGAAACAGTAGCATCTTTTAATATACACTGATGAATATGCATGCCCAGTGTGGAATACATCTCACCGTGTTAAAACAGTGGATGTGACTCTGAATGAGACATGACCCATTATCACAGGATGTCTACGCCCTACGCCACTGGAGAAATTACACTGTTTAGCTAGTATCACACCACCTCAGGAAGTAGCAGCCATCAATGAAAGAACCAATGCATTGACATCTCCGGCCCATCCTCAGTTCAGACACCAGCCAGCATGGTAGAATCTTAAATCAAGAAATAGCTTCCTAAGATTTACAGACATACTCGCAGGAACACCTCAGCAAGCGAGAGTCCAAAAGTGGCAGGCTGAAACATAGAACCTTAATCAGTGGTTGAGACCAAATAAGAAACTTCCTCCTGGGCACACAGAAGACTGGGTGACTTGGAAGACACTGAACAGACTGTGCTCTAGCACCACGAGATGCAGAGCCAACCTTAAGAAATGGGGCTACAAAGTGGAGTCCACGACATGCAAGTGAGGAGAAGAACAAACCCCAGACCACCTACTACAATACAGTCTGCAGTAGGTTGTCTGGTGTAGGTGCCACATACACAATGGAGGACTTCCTTACAATGACACTCGAAGAGGCCAGCTTCTGGTCAAAGGAAATTTAGTATAATGACAAGTTTTTAACTTTGCTTATGGTTTTTTATACATTTTAACAGTATTCTCAATTTGCTTCTGACATGATAAATAAATATATGCACCACTGTCACCAATAACCATTCTGCTATTTTATCCTATGTGCAGTTTTCATTCTATAAAATATTTCTTATTGTTTGTTCTTAAGTTTCTTCTTATTTTGCTTCCTAGATCATTCATCATTGTTATATAAGTAAAAGAACAGGTGTGATTAAAACAAATGACTTTTTGAGTCAGACCACACTGTCCAGGTGCTCATTTCCTTATTTTGCTCTGAAAGCCAGTTTTCCACCTAAATTAAAAATAGAAAGCACACCTCACTCTCTCACACAACAAAAATAGGAACAGTAGTTCTGACTTGCGATATGTCTGTTCCATCAGATAAGGTACAAACCTCTCCTTCCTCCCACCTGCTCCAGATGGGCAGGAAAAAGAAAGACCTTCTGGGATCCACACAATGGGGGAACAAACCATAGAAAGCCTGTCGCTAATATAGTTAAAGCACAAATGCTGCAGAAGAAAGTACACAACATGTGGAGGGCGAGTCCCTGTTATGCCAGAGAGCTTCTCCCCCATCCCTGGCTTCCTTGCTATTCTAATAATGTTCCTGGAGACGGAAAGAGAAACGGAAGAAAGTGAGAGAAGAATGGTAGGGAGGAATGCGGAACCCCAAGGAGATAAGGACGTCTAGAAAAAAGGATAATAGACAATTGAGTGTGAAGACAGGGTTTTTTCTAGAGAGAGAAATAACTAAAAGGATCCAAGAGGAAAAGAGATACTGGAGCAAGCAGAAGGACAACATGTTTTACCAGAACACAGACAAGATTAGTTTCCCACATGGGGATATCAGAAGATCTTTCTTTTTCATCCCTATCTGGAGCATGCAGGAGGATAAGAATAATAATAATATGGCTCACGAATGGAACACTGAAGATGGAGACAGAAGGCCTGATTCTTGCAGCCCAGGAGCAAGCCATCAGAACAAATGCCATTAAGGCCAGGACTGAAAAATCAGCTGACCCAAAATGCAGACTGTGCAAGGAAACGGATGAAACCATGGATCATCTCCTCAGCTGCTGCAAGAAAATCGCACGGACTACAAACAGAAGCACAACTCTGTGGCCCAAATGATTCACTGGAACTTATGTCACAAGTACCACCTGCCAGCAGTAAAGAATTGGTGGGATCATAAACCTGCAAAAGTAGTGGAAATGAACACACAAAAATACTGTGGGACTTTAGAATCCAGACTGACAAAGTTTTGGAACACAATACACCAGACATCACAATTGTGGAACAGAAAAAAGTCTGGATTATTGATGTCACCATACCTGGTGACAACCGCATTGAGGAAAAACAACAGGAAAAACTCAGCCGTTATCAAGACCTCAAAATCGAACTGCAAAGGCTCTGGCATAAACCAGTACAGGTGGTCCCGGTGGTCATTGGCACACTGGGTGCCATGCCAAAAGATCTCAGGCGGTATTTGGAAACACTGACAAAATCATGATCTGTCAACTGCAAAAGGCCACCTTACTTGGATCTGCGAGCATCATTCGAAAATACATCACACAGTCCTGGGAAGTGTTCAACTTGTGGTTTTGTGATATGAAATCCAGCATAGAGATCTCGTTTGCTGTGACATACTGTTGTTTTGTGCCAGTAAAATAAATAAATAAATAAATTATTTGTATTCCATCCAATCTCCCCGAGGGGACTCAGGGCAGATTCCAGCATACACAAACAATGCTTAGAAACAACATAACATAGATAAAGGTAAAGGCTTCCCTTGAAAGGCTTCCCTTGAAGAATAATCCAAGTTACAAAATCTGCTAAGAAATAACAGGCATCCAAAACCGACAAATAATTAATTCACACTACACAGTTACGACAGTTACGACACTTTAATACCACCTTATCTACTATTGCTCCATCCTATGAAACCTTAGGATATATAGTTTTGTGGGGTACTTGGAATTTTTTGCCAGAGAGGTCTACTGCACACCTCTAGATTACAACACCAGCATTGAGCTTCTGAGACTTCAAGGTACCTCTGAAGAGACTACAAATCCTAGGATTCCACAGATGGAACCATGAGAAAGTGGAATCAAAATCCTACCAGTGTTTAGTGTACACTCTGACCTGGCTGCCTTGGCAGATATACCCAGAGTCAATCAACTTTATTCTAGAAATGTGAATTAATGTTAACTGTAAAATTAAGATTTATCAATCCTCAGAAAGGCAAGATGACTTTTTGTTGGAACAGTTCCTTCGCCAAACAATATTCACGATTAATATAAATGAAAGTGCACAGTACCCAAGGCTGCTCAAGTCATTTTGGCAGAAACTCCCTGAAGCATCTCTCTCGAGCAGAGATTTAAATAGTTACAGACGGCTTCCTTTTCATGACATGATGCCTCTTCACTGTGCTAAATTACAGGGCCAGCCCTGCTACCCAAAGGAGGGGTTTTTTATGAGTCACTATTCTGAGTATAACTCAAAGGACAAGAAAATCAGCTATATCATAGCATAGAGAATGAATGGATTGTGGCATTATATGCCAACTTTTCTCCCTTAGTGAACTGAAGGTGGCATGTGCTTTTGATAGACCACAGGAACCTGTGTATGATATAGTCACGTGCCAACTATTCTTTTGACTCCCCTTCCCCAATCTGCTGCCTGCCAGGTATACTGGGATTACAACTTCCATCAGCTCCAAACAGACTGGTTAATGGTCAGGAATGGTGGATATTATACTCCAAGCTTTTTTTATGTCAGGAGCGACTTGAGAAAATGCAAGTCGCTTCTGGTGTGAGAGAATTGGCCGTCTGCAGGGATGTGGCCCAGGGGATGCCCAGATGTTTTACCATCCTGTGGGAGGTTTCTCTCATGTGCTTGCATAGGAAGCTGGAGCTGACAGACGGAAGCTCATCCCCAGATTTGAACCGCCAACCTTTTGGTCAGCAGTCCTGCCAGAACAAGAGTTTAACCCATTGCGACACGGGGGGCTCCAAGCCTATGAAGAACACCAGATGTTAAGGGACACTGTAGCAGAGATCAAAGTAATGGGACTGTAGTTTTTAGAAGAAATCCCAAATTTCATGGAGTGTTATTTTTGTAGCCTAACCTCTCTAAAAATAATAGAAAAGTATAAAATGTGAATAATTAGAATTATGTACTTTTGTACTCAAATCCTCCAAGCATTCTTAATTTGTAACATCTTTGCAGGGTGTGCAAGAAATGCAAGAAATGGAATTCTCATGAAAATAAGAAAAACATGTGCGCACACTCAACAAGCACACATCTTCTTTCATTCCTTCAAAGATATGGCACTACCCATTAGTTGGTAAACTACTGGCTTCAAGCTGTAGACTACATCCAGTTTTGAGAGACAAAACTATTTGTTCGTTGCAAAACTCAGCTTGACATCCAAACAACAAAGGTGAGATAATGTGCAACACATACTGCTGTATTCACCAATGAAGCAAATATTTTGACAAAAGCCAGCATCTCTAAAGCCAAACAACTTCTGACTCACTAAGAACTGTGCATGTGGTACCAGCCTTTATAATTTCACTCCTATAAAAAGACAGAACAAAACCATAATATACGCTTTCCTAAGATTGGTGGGTGGGTGTAATACTAACATGAGCAATGTGATCCTATTAAATAAAAAGGAGCTTTCTGTGAAATAAAAGACTTGGGTTTGTTACAAATGCCGTCTTTTTCCAGTATTTTCAACTAATGTTCTTTACTTAACAATAGACAAAAACAAGGGGCAGTAAAGATTCGTGCACAGACACGCACAAACCAATGTGAGGCGAGTGAGGTATGCAATTCAGTCAAAAGGCCTCCCGTTTCAGGGTCTATTTTCGGTTAACCCGTCATTCTGTTTACCGGGAAGTTACTCAAATTGGTACTCAATCCTCAGTCATTTTAAGGCCTATCTGCATGAAACCTACTTCAGTTTTAGACTCCATTTACAACTGCAGGCCTGCCAAGTTTCAGAATAAT